CACCACTGGGGACAACCATTAATCTCAAAGATGTTGTTGTTAGGTACCCTGGAGTCGATTCCAACTCATAGCCACCTTATGTACAACAGAACAAAACACCGCCCAGTCCTGCACCATCCTCACAATCGTTGTTACACTTGAACCCGTTGCTGCTGCCACTGTGCCAACCCATGTCATTGGGGGTCTTCCTCAGAGTGAGACATGAGGACAATGAAGAAGGTAAGCCCAGTAGACTTACCTGCACTTGAAGCATTGCACATCCTTTCAGGAAGTCATTGATGTTGGTGGTGCAGTCCGCTTCAGTTTGGGGCTCCAGACAATACTAAAAAAACCACAAGCATATGTCACTTGGAGTCTGTCATGGCTTGACCAGCAGACCATATTCATCACTCACTGATAACTAGATAAGGTAGGCTTTTTCAGGCAGGAGCAAAGTTGCTGTGAAACCAGGAAGAGAAATACCGCTGAAGGAAGTGATGAAAAATCTAAACGGTCGGTCTTTGTTTCAAATGTCACCAAGCCTTTAGTTCCCTGCCATCTCTCCTGATAAACTTTTTCTCGTGCTTTCTGCAACCGGGTGGTGACAGCAAATCAGAAAGAATAAGACAGTTTTCTGAACTTGGTTAATGTTTTTCAAGTGAGGAATGTTTTCATTCCCTGCCCCCACATGAAAATTCATTAAAACTTCGTTTTCTCCTTTGCTGTTCTCTATGCTTTAACACATTTCTCCACATTTTATCATCATGTCTCAAGGTTAAGAATTTGCTCAGTAAAAATCCAAGCTGGCTCAAGAAGGCAAAAGAGAAATACTCATAGTCGCAGTCCCTGCTGACTTTAAGAACAGAATTGTAAGATCCAAACTTTAAACTTACTTCAAGTGCCTGCTTTAGAAAAGATCCATCTACATGATCATGAGTTTCTAACTTTAAGAATCTAGGGGGTTTTGTTTTAAGAAAGTAAGGTTAGTTTTACTTTGAACACACATTGAATTTGAAACATATACAAGGGGGCTTCAAAATTCCATTATCCTTTCATTCCATTTTTCTGTGAACTTTTTGAAACCCCCCTCAGATTTGGTTTCTATCATTTTTTGCAAATCTTTTTCTTTTTATTGTGAATTGAGTGAAAGTTTACAGGGCAGATAGATCATCAGTTTTACAGTCAACAAATCATATACTTGCTTTCATTACAATGATTATAATCTCCACCATGTACCATCAGTTAATAGTATTTCTCTCTATTCATTTTAGCTCTTTTTTTTTTAAACATTCAGGCTTTTTTTTTTTTTTTGCAAATCTTATGTAATATTTTCAATTGCTTCTCCTAGCTGCAAAATAATCTGTCCCTCAGTGGACACTTTATTTTATTTTAGTATTTAGGTAAGGAAATCTTTGTTGATCTTAGTCAAACTGTCAACAAACACCATTGATATTGATTATAAATCATCCCATTATTCTACAGACTCGTATGTCGCCAAATTCAAAACATGTCCTCGGGACACAGTAGCACGCAGCTCTATGACAGAACTAGCTTGTGATATGGGTGTTCTTTTTCCCTACTGCCAGTGGTAGACAGGATTTTACTATATTAATATTTTGGGGGTAATTACTACAGAATAAGGTTTGATTTTTCACTTTTTCTAAATACCTACACACGCATAAACACAGTAAGAAAGAATATCTAACTCTTAGAAAGATATGAGGGGACTTCAAAAAGTTTGGGGGAAAACAGAATTTTTCCATGAACTTTTTGAAGCCCCCTCATATTAGTGTAAGACATTCCCATGGCCTGAGCAGTAGAAAATACCAAGAATTGAATTCTTGCTGCTCTCTTGTTGCAAGCAATCCCCAAGATAGGCAAGTCTACTTTACCTTTTCCACAGAGCCAGGAACAAGTCTGTTGATAAGTTTGCACAAAACTACCCCATTTTTCAGTGAGGACTTCAAGAACTCCTCCGGATCACAGATGGTCTTTTTGGGGGAATCTAAAACTCCCAGAGAGATAAGCCATGTCACGATTCGTTCTTCTGGATTCATTACTGAGGACTGTAAGCTCCACACAGCTCTCTGGGGCAGCTGCAAGGACTAAGCCACATCCGCGATTGCATCTGCTGTTGTCTTCCTTTTTATGAGTTCTCTTCTGGTTCGTGCAGAGCAAAGGTTTAAAACAACTTTCCTTAGATAACAGCGGAACCCACTCAAAATATGGGATTTTCAAACCACTGAACCCATACTGAAAGTTGAAGAAACAGAATGAATGCGACAATCCTGGACAATACTGGTTTTCTTTTCAAAACCTGAAAAACACATTCATTAGGATTTAAACAACAGCAGCAAAAAAGAACACATACACAACCCCAAAGGGGGATGGGGAACCAGTGCAAGAAACTGTAAGGGAAGGAAGTGAAGATGATGCTGAGGACGAAAGAAAGAGTAGGAAGCAAATACTCTTGGAAAACAGAGGTGAGCCAGCCCTTCAGGGGACCTTGGAAATGAGACACCCATGGGCCAGTCTGGGAAAAAGCTGTCAATAAATAGTCTAGCCCCAGTGAAAATCTGGCTTCTGTCAGGAGGAGCATGCCAACTGGCTCTAAGGTCAGACAGCTCTGAGCCTCATGGGGAGCTGTGCTGGCACCACAGGGCTTGAAGAAGGTAGCCTGAGAAAATTCTTCCTCCAAGAAATGGCTGGGTGTCCTCATACTATCTCCCAGACATGGTGTGTCACGATCATTCCTTGCAAAACGCATTGAGTTGCGTGGTGACAGCATGCCAAGTGAATGAAGATTTTGCCTGCTGTCAGCCATCACTGTATATAAGCAGAAGCTAGAAGAATGGCATTTTACTTTGCAGCCAAAAAGCTATGTTTAGGGAAATAGGCTAAGGATAACATCTGACATCCTGTTTACTTGCATTCTTTAGCAATTCTTTTTCTGGACCTGGTTCCACTACACAATCCAGCTGCAAAATCCTTAGCAAAGGCTCAGACACAGTCCCTTGAATGGGTAAAATATGCTTGAAAACAGAACGTTTGAGAACAAAAGAGCACTTGTTCACTGTCTACACTGCAGTCAGAGAGGCTAATGTTTTCCCAACACGAAACACTTTGCATTAAAAATACTGCTCTGAAAACAAACAAACAAAAAACTAGCCCATAAGAAGAGATCTTCATTATTTCAACTGTTTTCAAAGTCAGCTGAAATGGTTACACTATTGAGAAATTGATCATAAGGCCAATCTTTGGTAGTATACCCCTATGCTAGCAAATGCATTGCTATCCCTTCACTTCTTGCTTAGGGAGACATTGCCAACCAATCAAGAGTTCTTTCCTGCTAAGCTTCAGAATCCTCCATAGCACTGCTTCAGGCTTCAATGACAAAATAATCAGCTTAGATCACTCTGCTAAATACTTTCTAAGTTGACCCTTCTTGTTACTGCCATGACACATTATGCCTTACTGTTATTGTTTGTTGATGTATCTCTTCTCCACCCCACCCCCAACGCCCGACCCCCTGGAGTAGGGATCTCTTGTCTGTCTTGTTTATCTCTGTGTTCCTAGCACAGTGCCAGGTACACAGTAGATGTTCAAAAATGCTGAGTGAATTAATGTGCTTATATGGTGCCCTTGTATAGCTATTACATGACTATAACAAGCTTTATATAGCTTTAATAGCTTAAAGCACCTTTATCCAATGCAATCTTGTTTTACTATTCAAGTATAATTGACACAAAATAAGGTGTACAATTTAACAAGTTTTGAGATATGACCCAGTGTGGCGCTGTAGAATAAGCACTGGACTGCTAACTGAACGATCAGCAGTTCAAACCCACCAGAGGCTACTCAGAAACCGGATACAGGGTCGCTATGAGTGGGAACCAACTCAATGGCACTTAACAACAGCAATATATATGTGAGGAGTCCTGGCATAGTGCTGTAAGATAAGCACTGGATTGCTAACCACAGAATCGGTCATTCAAACCCACCAGCCACTCCTTGGAAACCTTTTACAGGATCCGTATGAATCGAAACGAACTGGACAGCACTTAACACCAACAACATATATCTGTGAAACCATCACCATAGTCATGATAATCACTTACATCATCTTCAAAAGTTTTCTTCTATCATTTCAACCCCTTTCTCAAGCCCCGATCTGCTTTCTGGCACTCTAAATTAGATTGCATTTTTTATAAACTTATTTAAATGAAATTATACAGGATGGTGCTTCCTTTGGTATGGCTTCTTCACTCAACAGCATTATTTTGAGAGTCATCCATGCTGTTTGTCTATCAATAGTTCTATAACAAGATTCATCTCCATGTGTTTGGTTAGATGTGATTATTTTAAAATATAAAATAAGTTTAATCAATCAAAAGCTTTAATGAACTTTTGACCCAGGGCCTAATTTCTATGTAATAGAAATAAAAACAAATTCTGTTTGCTGACAAATAAAATTTCCCAATTTGACCTACTTAAATAAACACATTTTTCTATGTCATTTGGACAGTTTTCAAATTGGCCATCAAAATTTCACTCTACAGACAAATTCTGGTAACATTATTGAGGTCTCACTTATATTTTTTTGATAAAGGACAAAGTCTGAGTAATTTCAGGAACCCAACCTAGTCCAAAATAGGCTTGAGTCACTGAGGTCACCTGGATGAATATCTCCCTCATTTTGGACACTATGTGGACATTATTTAATTTATAATAAATCAAAAAGGAGCTCTGGTAGCGTAGTGGTTATGAAACGGGCTACAAACCGCAAGGTCAGCAGTTCAAAACTACCAGTTGTTTCACGAGAGAAAGATGAGGCTTTTTGCTCCCATAAAGATTTACAGCCTCAGAAACCCTGTACAGGGTCACTATGAGTCAGTTCCGACTTCACGGCACATAACCACCACCAACCATCAAATCAAAAAGGCAAGGCCACCTCTTCAAGGCAGTAAAAACTATTCTATAATATAAAGACTAGTATGGTAAAATGTCAAGAAAGCATGGAATTCTGGGGAGTCCTTGCGTGATGCACACAGATAAGCACCTGACTCCTAGCCTAAAAGTTTGCAGTATTGAACCTATCCACATGCACATGGGAAAACAAGTCTGTAAACCACTTTTGGAAGGTGAGTCTTTAAAACTCTATGGAGCAGTTTTACTCAGCCCAGTAGGGTTGTCATGAGTTGACATCTACATGACAGTAACTAACAACCATAGTAAGTATGTAGGTGAAATACATGGAGCCCAGGTTGGGTAAGGAAGCAACTGAAGATGGAAAGGAGCTGATGAACTGGGAGAATGGGGAGAGGGTGACAACTGGAGGTCGCAGTGACTACTAAGAACATTTTTTATACAATGCTTGTCAGAGGAGCAAAGGCTCTTGCCCTGCATCTGATCCTTCATATGTACACCCTGGGCCACTGAATCTGCCGCTTCACTGGTTTCCCCACACTCTCTATCCCTAACAAAGTCCTTGGAAGAACACAGTCTGATAGATTTTCCAAAACTACCTCTTTGATAGTAAAAAAACCTTCAAAAACACTCCATTTCAGAGATAGAGCATCTGAGAACTCTAGACTCATGGAAAGAGAAAGATTGTGTGCTGGCTGGCAGGAGGCTGACTTGGTGTTTAAATGATTGTATATTCTTGAATGTTTTTATGTACACCAAAAAAACAAAACAGGAATAGAGGCCAATACTGTTAACGTATGGCGCACGGAGGCGATTGTAATCATTGCAGTGAAACAAAATACGATTGGTTGCATGAAAAACTGATGTTTTGCCATGTAAACTATCACTTAATTCACAATGGAAGTTCTATTTAAAACAAAAAAACTCTCCATTCCTTAAGATATTATTTTTGGGGATAAAAAGGTTCATTCACATTTCAAATTCTCATGGAATCTACACTTTCTGGAGCCTTTAAGATTGTATGAACCCCTGGAACCAATGCCCTGAGATAACCTTTAAATAAAAAATATCCCCTAATTTCCAGTCTAGGAGCAGAGGTCCCTAGGACCATCAACGGAGAAGAGCGGAGAGCGGGACCCTACCCAGAGAAGCAGTGATGCCTGAGATGGAGGCAAAGATGATGACGTGGAGCGATGGAGCAGCTGGGGACTTTAGATCCAGAAAGGGAGAGCGACTGTGTGCTGAAGACTGGGGTCAGGGGGTAGTGTAGGGGGCAGGCTTACAGGGTATACCCTTTGGTTGGTTGATGATATATGGAGGGGATTGTAACCATGGCAATGAAACGATGTACGATAGAATGAATGTAAAACTAATGTTCTCCCACGTAAACTATCATATAATTCACAATAAAACATTTTTAAAAATCCCCTAACAAAAGTTCAGTGGTTCAAACCCACCAGCTGCTCCTTGGAAACCCTATACAGGGTCGCTATAAGTCGGAACCGACTCAACAGCACTTAACAACAATATCTTCTTTAAACCAAACAATAGTTTGCTTAACTAGCTAAGAATGTCTGCTTAATGTCAGTTTTTGAGGACCAAAAACTAAACACAGCAACTTAAGCGTTGTGCTTTGTCTATAGGGATCAAACCGATAACAGCAACTCAAAAGAGAAACTAGGAAACGTGTTAATGGAGAAGAAACAATTTGGAAAAGACAAGTAAGAATGGTTGCACAACTTGAAGAATATAATCAATGTCATGGAATTGTGCATGTAGAATCTGTTCTGCCACACCAACAAAAGATAAAATAATTTTAAAAACAAAAATGAGTGTTCATAATAGTCACCTCTAGTGAGGGAGGAAGGAGAAGGGAATGAAAAGAGTAGAACTTCAACCAAAATCCACCACCAGCACTAGTTGCCTTAGAGTTGGTTCCAATGCACTGTGTAACCTTGTGTGCTTCAGAGCAGAACTCTCTTCCATATGGTTTTCGTGACTTTCAGAAGCAGATCCACAAGCTTTTCTTACAAGGTACCTCTTGTTAAAGCTTGAGCCACCAACTTTTCAATGTATTGCCCAGGAACATCTTGAAACAAAATAGCATTTTATTACAAGGAGAGTGGCAGGG